GGAGGAGATGGGGGTTGTCTCCAACCAGGATGGGGGGCAGGAGGTGCCTGTCACAGCCCCTGTCACACCCCTGTGTCCGCCTCTTACCCTAAGTTTTCCTGGCACGCCATTATCCGCTGAGCTTGTGAGCCGGGCTGGGCCCGGGCTGGGCCAGCTCCTGGAGCTGAGTCCCTCGTCAGGTCCAGTCCAGGCTCGGGGCACGGAGACCCCGGGGGCTCCCTGCTGTGCAGGTGGCCGAGTGCCAAGGAGCCTGAGGACAGGACCCCTGGCGCCACTTAGATTTGCAGACGTACTTGCCCCCCCCTCCCGGAACACGGAGCCCCCATCCTGCCTTAACTGTTCACAAGAACCAGATGTCCTCACTTCTTGCCCAAAAGTGCACACCAATCCTGCAGGCACACCGGTCAGAGTCGACCCCACAGGACGAGTCCACACTTCCGGGTTGGTTCCTGGTCCCTTCGGGGGAATGACAGCACCCACCTAACACCGGGGCACCCTGGCCGTGATGGAGGGTCTCGCCCCCGCCCCGCCCCACCCGCACTGACGTCCCTCCCCCTCGGCCAGCACCTCGGCAGGCTCAGTGGGGGGAGCCAGGCCCCATTCCCCACAGCACGGAGCACGAGGGGCCTCCTGGGTGAGCCCTGAGCTCCCGAGGCCCCTGGGCGGCGGGACGGCCGTGCGGGGGCAAGTCTCCGGGTGCCGGGTCACGGCCCACAGGGGCCCAGCGTGGGGTCGGCTGTCCGGGGAAGGGCCCCCTCTGGAAACGGGGCCAGTACTTCAGCAGCACATAAGGCTCCAGAGACAAGCACCACCCTGGGGGGGTGGGTTACGGGAGTGCCGGCGACCTGGGCTACACTTTACCCCTTGGGGCCGCAAGTCCAGAGCGGAGGCCGGGCGGGGTGGGTGTGCGGTGGGGGCTCCCTGGCTCACAGATGGTCTTCTCACTGTCCTCGCGGTCCTCACCGGCAGAGGGGCTGGGAGCTCTCCGGGGACCCTCTCCGGTGTGCGTTGAT